CCGATGCCTGAGGTATTCTCAATCGAAGAACTGCCAAGGGGGGGCATGGGCAATTTTTCTACGGTATTGCCGAAAAACCTAGATTCAATCTCGGCCTTTGTGCCAGATTCCGTTGAGACGTGGACGCATTGGTATTACTTATATACAGGTAGTTTGTGGAACAAATCTTTTATCGTACCTGTTACGAAGCTGCCGGGTTGGCGCACATGATTTGGGCAGAGAAAATTTTAGCACGCATAGAAAGTTGGTTAAATCTGGATTAAAAAAATGTTTTCTCCCCTAATGTTCACCCATTACAAGGCCCAAGAGCCACTCAAGGTAGAGGGTTACTGTGTGGAGTTGGATTAGCGTCAGAAAGGGCAAGATAACAGGAAAGATAGATAATTCTAGACTTTTAAGAGGTCAAGACTTGATTAGCGAATAAAATTTAAGAGTCCAGGCCGAGACGTTAGGATTATAAAATAGACTTAGCGGGAAACTGAAACTAAAACCTGTACAAAAGTCAGGGTGAGCGAGTGCGAACCGGACGATAGATGAATCTATTTAAAATCGTAGATAATATACATTAGAAAATATATATTTGAAGTAAATTTTAGACTAAACCGGAAAACTAATTCTAAATAGAAAACAATGGATAAACCTCTACTCCTGTTCAAAAGACCAGGAAGGAGAGTGAACCGGGCGATAGACGAACCTATTTACTCTTATTAATGAAAAACGAATATTATATAAAAGAGACGTCAGAAGTATACCAATTATTTACTAATACAGTAACATACACGAATATATACAGGGAGCGATGGATAAATTGTTGTCTAAATTACGCAAAACTGAAAATAACACTGACATCTCATTTTAACAGATATATTTACCAAAATTACACAAAAATATATGGAAATACTACAGAGCAAATATAGTCAATAAAATCCCGATTGGCTTCAAACCACGGCCTCCAAATTTTCTGGACAGACGACTTCGAAATCTCCTGCAACTCTTCTCGACGGCCTCCTTGTTCACGTTGGTGAATGCTGCCATAATTATTGCCTTCCGTTCATCTTTGGTGTTACAAGGCGTTTCGTTGGTCTCTCACTCAACTGTGCCCCACACATAATAATCAAGGGAGTTGCAGTCTGGGGAATTAGGTGGCCAGATATAAGGGGTGATGTTGTCGCAGAAATTGTCTGACAGTCATGACTGGTGCAGAGTCCTGTTACCAGACATAGGATTTTCCAGTAGCCACCTTCTTGTACCAGAACAGTGTTACCTTCTCACTTGATGTAGACCTCCGTGTTGAGTTTGAAGCCTTGTGGGAAGATGAATGGAGGCATAACGTCGCTATCATTATTGATCACTCCAAAACACCATCGAAATCACCATTAGACTCATCAAACTCTTTCCGAATCCTCTGCACTGTCCTCAGATTGACACCCAAACACTCTTAAATGTTCGTATAGGAGCTTCCGGCGCGAATGCCAAGCAGTACAGCATGCCGTTTCCACATTTCTGGCAGAGTGATTTGCGTGATGGTGCCTTTTTGGAAGTTAAAGTGTGGGGGTGAGGGGGTGATAACGATCTGTTTTTAAATTTTCCTTAAAAATCATTTTTATCACAAGTTTTCTACCATTGCCTATCATAGTATTGAAACGGTGTAAAATGTTTTTAATGTAATCTATTAGATATATAAATTCGACCTTGTCTACCGAACGCTCCTTTGTGGCCGATCGGTAAGGCACGTCAGCGTAAATGGCGGTTCCGTATAGGATGCAGGTTCGAATCCTGTCAAAGGACGAATATTTTCTATGAAAATTTCTCGGACATTCAGGCCGGTAAATTTTATTTAATACTGTTTATTATAAACAGAGCATTTACTTAAATACTTGTATCTATAAAAAAGAACGTTAAACATAAAAATGTCTTTAAATAAATTGTCGGACTTTGTCCATTTCTTAATATATATACATATATAATTAATTAAATATAACGAACAACTAACTAGAATCACATGCATATATATATATTATAAATTAATTGATTTAAAATATGTTTTTTTTCGCTACACAGTTCTAACCATGTTTCAAAAATGGAAGCTAAAAGCCCCGAATTTGAGGATGAAATGGAACTAATGTCTTTAATTTAATTACAAAATTAAATTCGTGGATTTTAGCTTCCATTTTTGAAACATGGTTAGAACTGTGTAGCGAAAAAACCATATTTTAAATCAATTAATTTATAATATTAATGCTCTGTAAATTTACATTGAGCACTAATTTGTAAAAATAGAAATATCTATAAGAACACCGGATTATATATCTTACTGTTCTTTCTTTTTATTTATATACATATATAAATATATATATATATACATATAAAGCTTTTTTGTACCGATGTAAAATGTACCGATGTAAAATGTACCGATGTAAAATGTACCGATGTAAAATGTTTTTATTTAATCTATTTTATAAAATATTTTATATATATATATATATATATATATATATATATATATATATATATATATTTACATCGGTACAAAAAAAAGCTTTCATATGTATATATATATATATATATATATATATATATATATATATATATATATACATGTGTGTGTGTTTGTGTGTGTGTGATTCTAGTTAGGTGTTCGTTATATTTAATTACATTACTATTGTATATGTACTTTGGGAAAGGTATGAATCCATCTCTCCACTCTTCGGCTATAGATTGAATATCAGGAGACTCTGAGTGAATATATTCTTTCTCGGCATCCTGGATGCCGCAAAAAGAAACGCCCGACTATTGGAAGAATTTTGACTTATTTAATCAGAAATCTTGTGAATGTTTGTCGTCACACATTTATTTTAATATATTTTATTGTTATACGTTATTTATATAGACAGAAATATTTAAGTAAATGCTCAGTTTATAATAAACAGTGCTAACAACATTCATATCTGCTCGATGCGTATCCAAATGTAAACAAATGACGTCACACATTATGAAATAGACAAAGTCCGACAACAATTTAATGTCATTTTATATCTTTTTACGTTTTTTTTGTTTTTGTTGTTGCTTATACGTTCTTTTTTTTGTTCTTTTCTCGGACATTCACGCTATCTATAAAAGGCAGGATGTGTGTGTGTGTGTGTGTGTGTGTGTGTGTGTGTAACGAATGCACGGCCGCAATTTTCGACGGATTTGCACCAAAATTTACATGCACATGCTCCAAGTTAACGGGAAGGCCAAGACTGACTTTGCATTTGCCAGCTCCCATCGATAGTGGAAAGAATCGATTTTTTTTTCATGCTTCTATGCCAGTTTTCATGTAGTTTTCAGCCATTTTGTATTGGCCAGAGTGAGAGCCTAGAGCTGGCTGCCACAAATAGGCAGGAAGATTCTATTGGCCAGCGTGTGAGTCAACAGCTGACTGACACGAATGTTAACTAGCATGCTAGCATGCAAAAAAAAATCGATAGCTGCATTCGTCAAAAGTGGGAAATATTTAAATCTGCATGGCACTTTACTCCAATTGGCTCATTCGCTTGCTTAAACTCAAACGTTGATTCTGATTCCGCAGAACTGGGTTGGGTGTGAAAAATTATTTTTTGTTAACATTCTTTTTTCATTCGGTTTTTCCAGTTACGAGTCCTTTTTTTAAAGCTGATCGTTTTGTGTTGATTTTGTTTAGTTCTTTTTTCGTAACAGATTTAATGTTTAGTATAGAGCTTAGAAAAAATTCGCAGTGTGAGATAGGCAAGAAGTAAGGCATGTAGCAACATCAGCACGGAAAAAGGCACTCATTTAAAGGCAAGGAAGGGCAAAAATATTTTAAGTCAAGTGATAGCGATTGCTGTATGAGTCGTAGGATTTTTGAATCAAGCACGGGCAACGCCAGGCCATACTGCTAGTTATTATAAACAGAGCATTTACTTAAATATTTGTATCTATAAAAAGAATGCATAAACATAAAAAATGTCTTAAAATAATACGTATCAAGCATATATGAATGCATGAGAGAAAATCATGGAGAATTGTAAGTTTAAAAACAGTAAAATTGACCTTGCTAACTGGAACGCTCCTCTGTGGCCCAATCGGTTAAGGCACGTCAGGCTATATGATGGTTCCGTATAGGATACAGGTTCGATTCCTGTCATAGGACGCATGTTTTCAATGAAAATTTATCGGACATTCAGGCCGGTAAATGTCGTTAATACTGTTTCTTATAAAACAGAGCATTTACTTAAATATTTGTATGTATAAAAACAATGTATAAACATAAAAAAATGTCTTAAAATAAAGTGTTATGTAGATTTAGCGGTCAGGTTAAATATCTGTGTTACAAATAGCATCAGTACACTGGTTTCGTTATAAAACAGATGTTGAACTGAATTTCTAGACAGCGATAAAGAAAAAAATTGAAAATCCAAGTGCTGATTGGATAAAATCATGGCGAAAAATATAAACGAAACATGAACTAAATTAACTGCTCACCTTCTCAACAACAATTTACTAAACACTCATACTGCTCCTCCACCATAGCCTCCTTCCCTCAATATTTATTCCTTTAGTTGGTTTCGTCATCTTGTTCATTTTTCTGCTTCCTTCTTTTTTTTCGAAGTCTTTATTTCAGTGTTCGTTGACTACCCCTTCCTCTCCCTGCATCGTTTCCCGCGATCTTTTCATTGACTTCGCACACTTTACAATTTATGACTTTACTATTTCTTTTAGTTTCAGTTTCATTTTCTACTTTCACTTTCGCTTTCTTCTGAGCACATCCTTCCCGCCCATTTTATTCAGTCAATATTTATTTGGGCAAAAGGAAAAAAAATTCTTTGATTCACCATCTTTCTCAGCCACTCTTTATAAATGTCGAACATTGGTTCATATCTCTTATAGCTGTTGTTGTTGTTGTTTAATTTGTATTTTTATGGCATCATCAGCATCGCCAGCGTCGTCGTCGTCGTCATCATCGACATTTTTATTTTTTTCCGTTCATCTCTTTTTTTATGCGTTATATTTTTATTTGGAAGTATGTTTTTTCTCTTTTTCTTTTTCTTTTTCATTTTTTTTTCTTTCTTTTTAAGTTGTTCTTTTTTTTCGTCTTCTTTTTCTTTTCCATTGGTTTACTTTGGCTTTCTTTAATTTCTTGGTAATTTTTTTTCTTTGTTTCTTTTGATTGTACGTCTCGTTTTCTTCATCTTTTCTTCAATTAATTTTTCTTTCTTTAAGATTTTCATTTATCTATTTTTCTTCATTCTTTCCGTATGGCAAAGTTTTTCACTTTTTTCTTCCTTTTGTATTTTTGTTACATTAATATTTCTGTTTCCCGGTTCTCTCTTTTACTCCGGTTCTTTCTTTCTTTCTTTCTTTCTTTTTTCTTTCTTTCTTTCTTTCTTTCTTTTGTTTGTAATTGGCTCTTTTTTCTTTTGTTTCTAATTCTTTCTTTTGTTTCTAATTCTTTCCTTCTTTTTTCTTTCTTTCTTTCTTTCTTTCTTTTGTTTGTAATTCGCTCTTTTTTCTTTTGTTTCTAATCCTTTCTTTCTTTCTTTTTTTCTTTCTTTCTTTTTTCTTTCTTTTGTTTGTAATTCGCTCTTTTTTCCTTTGTTTCTAATTCTTTCTTTCTTTGTTTCTTTCTTCCCTAGCCTTTGTTCTTTCCTTTCAGCTAATTACTTTCTTTTCACCAACTTTTTTCTTTCTTTTCCCAACTTTCGTTCTTTCTTTTCAACTGCTTTCTTTCTTTCTTTCTTTCTTTCTTTCTTTCTTTCTTTGTAAATGTGCTTATTTTTCCCCCTTTCCCTTCTTCTTTCTATATTTCACTTTAGCATCATTTCTTCTTTATAAACTCCTATAAATATTTATTTTTGGACATTCGTTCACTCATTACGTTTTTCATTCTTTCTCTTATATTTTCTTCCTTGATTTATTCACCCTTTAATAAAAACCGACTATTTTCGACCTTCTTCTTCTGCTGCGCTTCGTTTGTACTTTTCCCTCTTTTCCCCTAATTTTGATCTTAATCTCCACCCGTTTCCTTGTCATCTATTTTTTTTTCCACAATCTTCTTTTTCCCAGTTTTTATTTACACTTCTATCCTTTTTCTTCTACCACCCCTGCTAATTGTTTCCCATTTGTCCTTTTTTTCTTTCGATAACAATTCAAATAGCAACAATTTTCCATTTCTCATTCTTTTTTCTCTTCTACTTCTTTGGCTTTTAACATTTTTTTCCTTTTAGTTTCTTGAGTTGTCCATTTTGCCTATAATTTTGAAGATATCATCAAATTTCTTTCTTATTCTTTCGCCTCGCATTTTCCACGTTTATTCTTTGCTTTTCCTGGCTTGATTTTTCTGCTTTTCTCAGTTTTTCTATTTCTTACGTTATACAATTTTTTCGTGAAATAATTTTCCTTTGGTATATATATATTGTAAAGTTCATCTATTCTTCATTCTATTATTTGTTTTATTTTCCTTGCAATTTCTTCTTTTTAATCAGTTTTTTCTTTCCTTTATTCTTTTTCATTCTTTTCATCGTTCTTTTACTTCTATCTTTATTTCTATTTCCTTCTCGCTCATTCATGTTTTCCTTCATTTTTTTCTTTATTTCTTTCTTTTTCTCTATTCCGTTCACTCTCATCTTCCTTCTTTGTTTTCATTCTTTTTCGATTTTCTTCAGTCAAATATTTCCTTGTCATTTCCGTTCTCATTTTGTTCTTTCATTTTTTTCTTATATTTTTTCTTTCTTTTAATTATTCTTTCATTCATTCTCTCTTTCTATAGTTTCTTCATTCTTTCTTATAATTTCTTTTTTTTATAATTTCTTCTTATAGCTTTCCTTTCTTTTTCTCATTCTTATATTTTCTCGTTTTTTTTCCTTTCTTCTTATATTTTTCCTTTCTTTCTTTTACTTTCTTTCTTTTTTTTAGTTTTTCTTTTAATTTCCTTTCTTTTTTCTGACTTCCTGCAATTTCTCCATGATTTCTTTTCTCTTTCTTTCTTGTAGTTTCTTCTTTCTTTCTTTCTCTTTTTCTTTTTCATCTTTCTTTCCTTTTCCTTTCAGTTCCTTTGTTTTAATTTCTATTCTGTCTTCCTATAATTCCTCCTTTCTTTCTTTCTTTCTTTTATTTTTTCTTATAGTTCCGCCGTTCTTTCATATTATTTCTTTCTTCACTCTTTCATTCAGTTTTGCCTTCCTTCCTTCCTTCCTTTCTTTCTTTCTTTCTTTCTCTCTTTCTTTCTTTCTTTCTTTCTTTCTTCATGTCTTCCTCGCTATTTTTATCCTTTTCTCGCACATTTTCCTTCCTTCTTTCTTTCTTTCTTTCTTTCTTTCTTTCTTTCTTTCTTTCTGTCTGTCTTCCTCGCTATTTCTATCCTTTTCTCGAGCATTTTCTTTCTTTGTTTCTTTTGTTCTTTCTTTCTTCTTTCTTTTTTTTTCTTTCTGTCTTCCTCGCTATTTCTATCCTTTTCTCTCACATTTTCTTTCTTTCTTTCTTTTTTTATTTCTTTCTTTCTTCATTCTCTCTTATATTTTCGCCTTTCTTTCTTTTTTTCTTTCTTTCTTTCTTTCTTTCTTATATGTTCGCTTTTCTTTCTTTCTTTCTTTCTTTCTCACATTTAGACTACTCTATAAAATGTCTTTCTTTGGTTGGATTCCCTTCTTTATTTCGTTCTCTTTCTCTTTCGCTTTCATTCCCGAAGAGTCTGTACCTTTTTATAACTCTCAATAAACATTTCTTTCTTCATTCTTTCCGCCATTATTTTCGATATTCATTTGCTGTCCTCATTCTTTTCTCATAGTCTTCTTTTCGCCTCCATTTTCTTCTTTTTTCTTTACCACCTCCGCCTATTGCAAGATTCCCACCCCCCTCGCCACCGGAGCTTATCCTCCAACGTCTTTCACCGGAGCCAGTCTCCTTTCATCTAAAACTCTTTCGTCATTCAACTTCTTTATCATCGTAATGCTTCCTTTTTTTTTCTTCCTCCGTATTTCTTTAACTCTTTTTTTTTCGGTTTCATTGTTCTTACAGAACGCCAGTAATGCCTCACCGGAAGCGCGTTCAGTCACATCCGGGTACAGATCTCGATTCGAAAGTCGGCTCCTAATGGATGGTAGAATTTTTACAAAATATCGCTCGTCTTTTACACGGCGTTCACCCATTTCTCCTTTTCGCTCCCGCACCGCCTGGGAAACCCGGCCTCCACCTACCCCGCCACCGCATATCCCCCTTTATCCCCCCCTCTTTTCACTTTTGTTTACTGGTGGCTTCACCTTTTATTTTTCATTTTGCATTGAAAGAAATGATAGAAAAAAATAA